GAGTCGAATAGGAATCTTTACACAAGTTTTAAGAGAAATTTTGTTCGAGCCTCCATGTCTGTTCTCTGTGGTAGTACACTGAACAGATGGCGGTAGTGTGTAAACGTCAAACGCAAGGGAATTGACCATGCGCGCCACAGGTGGCAGTACTACCAACAATCAATACGAAACTAACGATTTTAAATTGGCTCACCACTTTAGTAGCCTATTGGCACAGAACAGAAGGGGAAGTGCAAACAAATCGGTGAATCAAAAAGTGCTCGTTTTTCTGCTCAACGAGCGATGTGATGTGGTAGCGTTCCACATAGGCTTTCTATGTGCACTCACACTATCATAGCATGCTGCCTATCTTAACTACAGGCCGAAGATGCCTTCTACAGCTAGGTGCGCTAGTGTTCGCAAATGACCAGTGGAGCCACTTTCTGATTTGAAGTTCCACTCCTGTGCTATTGGTCCCAAGCAAACGATTAACGTACCCTATTCTAGTTGAAATTCTATTACTACACTATATTTGTTTTGATTCGCTATGAAAGTTTGACAGATAACATCAGGGGTGTGTGGATTCATGCAGAACATGCAGGGGTGAGTGAAATAGCTTGGGACTGCTTGGGACCGTTGTTCTGGTACTGAGTGAGCCAAAAATAATAATGATTTTCTTCGGGACCCAGTGGTCTTAGAGTTACCTCTATGGTACTACCAACCGGTGTAAACTAACGATTTTAAATTGGCTCACTACTTGACTAGCCTATTGGTCCCAAGCAAATCGATTAACGTACCCCATTCAAGTCGAAATTCTAGTACTACACTATGTTTGGTTTGATTCGCTATGAAATTTTGACAGATAAAATGAGGGGTTCGTGGATTTTCCTACGTTTCGAGGGGTGCATCGAGCTTTGGACCGAAGAGAGTACCAGAGATGAACCAAAAAGTTGAGAACGTTTCTTCGGGAGCTTCTGGTCTTAGAGTTATCTCTATGGTTAAGAGATGAACTAGCCTATGGCTAAAAATCTCGCTAATAAAAAAAAAAAATTATGGTACTACCAACTACGATACTTTTAAATTGACCGTTAAATCCTTGTTCGATGAACAACTTGCGAGTGTTATGTCTGTTTGTCTGTGATTACATGTTATAATGATATCACAGAGAACATACGTTGAGGCTCGAACAAAATTTCTCTAAAAACTTGTGTAAAGATTCCTATTCGACTTAAGCGCTACCAATGGCGACTTCCCCACTTAAAACCCTCTTTGACAACATGATGGTGCTGGCGTTGCAAAACTTACACTAGAAACTAAGTGCTGGTAGCGCCAAGTAGCAATTTTCAACAGATAAGTTTATCGATACTAGCACCAAATTGGTCGAAAGTGATAAATTTATAGAGGAAATCAGGATATGCTAGTGCTACGTAACGGCTACGTTCCCACTTATCTTTACACAAGTTTCTGGTGGAAGTTGGACGTCTGTTCTCTGTGATGATATAGTGTACTTGTAAGTTACTAGAAAAGGTTTAAACAAATGTGTTTGACTCATAAAACCTGTCGATTCTGCTTTCAGTGCATCGCAATCAGCGATTTTACGATTCGTTAGTGGTCACTCTGAGTGAACGCTCACGAATCATAAAATCGCTAATTGTGACACTATGAAAGCAATATTGACAGGTTGTTTGTGTCAAACACATACTTTACAACCTCTTCTCTTGTAAAATACAAGTACTAATTGTCATTTTATCATCTAATGATTTGATAATTCCGAAAAACATTTTTTTTTATAGCAAGTGATTGGAAGCAACCCTGGTGTTGAGTACTTGGCACTGATGAAGTCTGCAAGTAGTAGACGAAATACGCGTATCTGTCAAAAGATAAGCAATTCTGGATCAACAATAGAAAAGGGCCCATCAGCATTTGTAAACAAACCGTTCCAAAGCCCATTCCTCACAAATCGAAGTTTTCCCTATCCGATGATAGTGTTGGTTTGCGCGGGTGGCCTTCGCTTTGCGAGTAAAGGACTTTGGAACGGTTTGTTTACAAATGCTGATGGGCCCTTTTCTATTGATGATCCAGAATTATAACGGAATTTAAAGGAAAAAAAAAACCAACACACTCAAAGCTCTTCATAAAGGGATTCCTTTAAGAGGTTTGACAAATTTAAAGGATGAATAAAGTATGACAATTTAGTTTTCAGAACGTCACAATAGGCGATTTTATTAATCGTAAAATCGCTGATTGTGACGCTCTGAATGCGAAATTGATAGGTTTTATGTGACAAAAACATATACTTTACAACCTTTGCTTCCAAATTACAATTACGAAATGTCATAACAACTAATGATTTCATAATTCCGAAAAACATTTTTTATAGGGCTTTTTAATAGAAACTACACGATCGATTCAACCTCTGGTGGTGAATAGGAGAACGTCAAAAAGAGTGTTGTGAGCATCATTTTTTGCCTTGAGACAAAGGAAGCGGAACACTTTTTCACTTTTCCTGATCAATTGATTCATCTGAGATGCTCCAAAACTTAATCGACAGTTGAAAAATTTAATTCTGTAACGTTTTTGCAAACATCCTGCTGATGTACAGGAATATTTTTGTTGTGAAAAATGCAAAATTAGAAAAGTGCCTTAGTGGTTATGATCTTCCGGATTTCTTGTGTGTGGATAGTTAAGGTACAAATCAGTTCAGATCTGTGGAAAATCGTACAATAAGACAATTACCGATATATATTGGCAAGATGTTAAATGAAAAATGCTTCAATTTGCGTTGTGAAAAATTGTTATTCTGATGTAAACAAACGGTTTGGTTGACGTTTCTTCTCGAACTCACGTGGCGCACTCTACGTTGGTGGTGCATTAAAAAGGCGTATAGTTAAGGTGCAAATCATTTCAGATTTGTGGAAAATCGTACAATAAGACAGGATTTCTTGTGTGTGGATAGTTAAGGTACAAATCAGTTCAGATCTGTGGAAAATCGTACAATAAGACAATTACCGATATATATTGGCAAGATTTTGAATGAAAAATGCTGTTATTTTCGTTGGGGAAAATGCTTATTCTGATGTAAACAAACGGTTTGGTTGACGTTTCTTCTTGAACTCGCGTGGCGCACTCTACGTTGGTGGTGTATTAAAAAGGCGCATAGCCATAAGTGAGTATTGTCGCGCTTATGTTAAATTCTCATTTGGTGACGGTTGAAACGCGCCGCTCATAAGCGCGATGCGACCCCGCCCATAAGAATTATACACAGGTGTGTAACTTAGATAGTATTTTATGTCAGCGGCTTGAGGAGCGAATCCTGGATAAATAGTCGCCGTGTGTTAAATCAATTGGCGCAGTCGTACGGCCATAAACAGAATGCAGATGGTATAATCCCATTTTGAGAAATTATTCTGCCACCAGTGCTGCAAAATCTCGACAGTACACGGTGATATTGACAATTAATTATATGATTTGAGTAGTAGCTACACTGAAGATCCTAAAGATGTCGCCCCTTCAGTGGTAGGAAACTCATTTTTGCAGTATGGAGAATATCAGAAAATCCACGATTTGTGACTAAACATGCTTTCACAGAAGGAAACAAATAAACGAGTGTTTACCTTATCACCATAGTAATGTACTCGTGCAGTTTTTGTGCATCTGAAACTGCCCATAAAGACGATAATGAATAAAAACTGAAAATGTTCATGCATTTCCAAATGGTTTCCTACCATTCCCATACATTCGAAAGTGACTGGCCCTCTGGATGTGGATGATGTCAAAAACAACAAAACATGATTAATTCTGCTTTGGTCACTCATTTGAGCTAACAGTCATAGTCAAGGCAAACCATGTCAATTGTCAATGACAATGCTGTCAGTGACGAACATATGTAGATTTTTATATTAACTAAATTTGTAACGAAATTAAATGACTTGAGCAAAACAACTACATGGAGCCATTTTAGTGAATAAGCATCTACGTCCTGAACTACTTGGATAACAATAATGTGACACAGAATGTACTAAATTACACGATTTGTTACCAGGTGAATCTTTGTCATTGACGAAAAAATGAATCGATTTTGACGAAGGTTTTTTTGAGGATCAAGTCTGTCAGTGACTATGTGACGAACAATTTTGTCAATATCGCGCGAAAGTCTGTCAATGACAATGACAAATCTCAGCACTGCCTGCCACACACAATAGAAGCAACCTTGAAAGATGTTATCATCTAGCTTCTAATACGACAAACATACGATAATAGCATAGAGGTAACTCTAAGACTAGAAGGTCCCGAAGAAACGTGCTCAACTTTTTGGCTCAGCCCTGGTACTCTCTTCGGTCCCAAGCTAGTCGATGCACCCCTCTAAACATAGGAAAATCAACGAACCCCTCATTTTATCTGTCAAACTTTCATAGCGAATCAAAACAAACATAGTGTAGTACTGGAATTTATACTAGAATGGGGTATGTTAATCGATTTGCTTGGGACCAATAGGCTAGTCAAGTAGTGAGCCAATTTGAAATCGTTAGTTTCGTATTGATTGTTGATAATAGTACGTTCAGACTACAGAGTTATAACATGTTATAACGCTATTTTGATGGTGGTTTCTGTGTTGCAATTATTTGACAACCGTTATAACATGTTATAACAACACTCCAGTCTGGACAGCGTTTAAGAAACGGTTATGTACCCAAGTTATTAACGAAAAAGAAAGACGATGAAAAACATCGATCAATTTTATTGAGGACCCAATGTAATATTCAGATTGAATTATAAAAAAAAACTGGAGTTACACGAAACTCTGTGTATTTCCAGTTCCGTATGTATTTCTGATCATTATTTGTTACTTTTATCCCATTGTGAAATATTTTATAGCATGCTAAATTTTAAAACTACTGCAACAGCAGCGACACCAAAGTGTGAAGTCTTTAACCTTTGAGTTTGTTTTTGCTTACGTTGTGAGAGTGTTGAGTGAAGTGACGTTTCTCTCGTTGTCAAACCAATATCCACGTCAAAAGGTTCGAGTTGCGATAATCCCGAAAAAATAATTTGTTGAATTTTTCGTAAAATACTAGTTTATTTGCCTTCATAGTTTTATAAAAAGTTTAAGCAATGGACTCGCTAATGGTAAGTCATCGATCAATCACGAAATTTAGTTCACGTGACTTTTCTGACGGTAACGACACGGCTTTTTATGCTTCAGGAACCAACCCTGTACACGGTCAAGGGAATGTGCATCCTGGACAACGACGGCAACCGGATACTGGCTAAATACTATGACAAAAATGTATTTCCCACCGTGAAGGAGCAGAAAGTCTACGAAAAAAATCTATTCAACAAGACGCATAGGGCTAACGCGGAAATCATCATGCTGGATGGGCTGACCTGTGTGTACAAGAGTAACGTTGATCTGTTCTTCTATGTGATGGGAAGCACGCACGAAAACGAACTGATACTGCTATCGGTGTTGAACTGCTTGTACGACACGGTCACGATGATCCTGAAGAAGAATGTCGAGAAGCGAGCGGTGCTGGAGAATCTGGATGTCGTAATGTTGGCGTTCGATGAAATCTGCGATGGAGGGTAAGAAGCTGTTGATAGATTTGAGTTTTTTGAGCGGTATTCTAAGTTTGAATAAATATCCATTTTACAGAATTATCCTGGACGCCGATCCCTCCTCGGTGGTAAAGCGGGTGGACCTGCGGAACGACGACATCCCGATCGGGGAGCAAACTGTTGCACAGGTAACTAACGCAATCCATGGACTGTTTTGGTGATCCTTAAAGCCCCTCAAAAAATTCATATCTGCACAACAGTATTTGCTCGTTTTATGGTCAAACCAGTTTGCAATAATAGCATACAGCGTAGGCTTAGGTCATTTGTAAAAATCGGCATTAAAAGCTCATTTTGCACACCGAAATCTCAAAACGACTTGTTTTATTTATCGACTTTCTCTTCTTTTGCAGGTCCTGCAGTCGGCTAGGGAGCAATTGAAATGGTCCTTGCTAAAGTAAATCGTGTAGGACTACGGTGGGATTTTTTCCATTGATACTAAATAAGCTAACATTCTTCTTTAGTCTTACGCATTCTTTTAAAGTACCTAGTTAAAACAGAAATATAAACATATTACATACAAAACCTAGGTTTCAAAAACAGATTTTTAAGTGGTACTTTTGAGCTAAAGCGTTCGCAAAGAATGATATTGCAATTACGAAGAAACTCCCCTAAATGGTGATAAGCAAATGTAATCAATGGATTACTAGACGCCGATCAAGAGGATAAGAATAGATTGTGGTATTATTTTGTATTGAACACTTGAGAAACAGTAAGTACCTATCCCTCCCAGCTAGTGGGGATCGTTGAAGAGTGAAAGAGACCGTTGGTACGCGATAAGACGATATAACAGTACTACTACTGATTACTAAGAGGATAGTTCGAATGATACCTGGGACAGTATTCTTTGTGCTGTTAGACGAGGTCGAGTCTTGATACATTCGTTGAGAAAAGAGAGATATCAATCTAGAAATTATTCAATTCGTTTGTTTCTGCGGAAAGAACTATCTTTTTACATAAGAAATAAAGTGAGTGTGTTTTATGCTTGAATTGAAGTGCAAGGAAGGGCTATGTAATCTGGGAGCTGAGCATCTATACATATTGTAAGTGCAGATTTATAGTGAGTTTAATGCGCATATAGAGATTTCTGCGTACGGGTGTGAATTCGGTAAAGCGAGTTGTTCTAAACATAAGTGCCGTAGAATCGTGTAAGCATTTTCTGCTAAAAAAGGAGGACCTGTTTCTGTTCTTTGGATGTCTGCTGGCTTAGGCTTTATTTTCTCATAATTAGCAGTCAGCAGTAAACGGTTGGTTGGTTGTCTTTATTAAGGAGATTTTCAGCCAGACGCTGGTTGATCAGCAGTAAACGTGTTAAATGTTACACTCTACCAAAGTAGTGAAACTACTCAGAGGAAGAGAATCTTAGGCTGAGCGTTTCCGCTGGAACGTGATCAGGGGAACCACTTGGGCTCTCCAGCTGTTCATACTGATAACGGCAAAGCGGAACACTCGAACCAAGACGAGTACGTTTTCAAGGACGTGGTGACCCTTGGAGCTACCTAAATGAATTTGATTTGAGCCAGGGCATAGATATGTTAACGACTACGAATTATCTGTTTCCCAGAAGAAATTGTTATAAAATGACGAACAGTTTCAAATAATTAGTCACACGTATCAAAACCCTGGTGGTACCACTTACTGAATCTTACTGTTTCATTCCACGAAAGAGGTTTATAGGCACTCAAAAAGGCTTTATAGATTTATTAGCGCTACAAAATCCAGCTAGCACTACGGCACACTAATAAATGTGCAATGTACGTAGTTCTAAAACAAAGGATGGTTCCATTCACGATTGGCGTAGAAACGGGAATGTTACTGTTTTTTTTTTATAATTCGCATTCAACAGTCTGTGTTCCATATACAGCTTTCCCCAGAAGAACGCGTTACCCACTAAGTTACACCCACCGCTTTATCTCGGTGAGTTTTCAACCAAGCGCTCTGATTTTCTGCGAGTGACTACTCAATTGACCCTACTCACAGCAAAAAATCAGACCGACTGGTTCAAACAAAGCCGAGAAAAAGCGGTGGGTGCAACTCAGTGGGTAACGCGTTCTTCGGGGGATAGCTGTATATGTCAATTATTAAAATTCACAATTAAAGTCTGACCAACAAACATTGAATGATATTGTCATTGACATAACTTATGAAAACATTACCTCAGTTGATGGAGTAAGAAGTTTCAAAGTTTTATTGAAAACCAAATAGTGGCTACACTATTTCTGATAAAGAAATTCTGCAAAATTTATTTGAAACACACTTCCCACACACTTGAATCTATTCAATGGGCACTTAACAGCTTTACTCCATACAAATCTCCTGGCGCAGATGGCATACCTACACCCCATGTTGCTCCAGAAGGGATTTGCTTCCGTGCTTCCGTCTATTTACGTCTCTTTAAACTGTTCCCCTGGTAGAGGAGAATTAAGTTCATTCGATCCGGCCAAAAGGGATTTGTGTACTTTAAACATGTATTGAAAATACTTATCATTAGCAGTTTTCCTGAATCCTATCGCGACATAACAGCGCAATTTAATCCGAAAGGAGAATGCTCGTCGTACCAAGAAACAAAGAGCTTCAGACAAATAAGTTTAAGTTCTTTTCTCCTCAAATGATTGAAACGTATTTTCGATCATCACATCCGAAATGTTAATTTAACAAACATAGCACTTCATGTAAACCACAGAGGACAGACGTCCAACTTCCACCAGAAACTTGTCTAAAGATAAGTGGGAACGTCGTCATTACGTAGCACTAGCACAGAGAACAGACATGGAGGCTCGAACAAAATTTCTCTAAAACGTTACGTGGAGCTAGCATCTCCTGATTTCCTCTATAGTTTTTTCACTTTCGACCAATTTGGCGCTAGTATCGATAAATTTTCTGTTGAAAATTGCCACTTGGAGCTATCAGCACTTAGTGTCTAGTGTAATTTGTGCAACTCCAGTGCCTTCAGGTTGTCAAAGAGGGTTCTTAAGTGGGGAAGTCGCCGTTAGTAGCGCTTAAGTTGAATAGGAATCTTTACACAAGTTTTTACAGAAATATTGTTCGAACCTCAACGTCTGTTCTCTGTGATACGATATTGAAAAAGCATTCGCTCATAAAAATTCCTGCTTGGTTGTTTTCTCACCGACAAACCGACATGACACTTAATTCTGAACTATGCCCGAAAATCGTAAACGGCCGATTTAAATGTGCAGTGATCCGAACTGTCAAAACCATAAGATATTTTGATCTAGATAAAAATAATTTGTTCAGAATAGATCAGACATGAACCAATTCATAACTTTTGCATGCGGGTTCATCGCTTAGATAAATAATTCCCGAGAACACGGAGCCAGATGTCAGTAGTGTGCTTTGATCAGAAATTTTATTGGTTTTGCTATGGTCATTCATGTCGGTTTGTCGGTGGTTTTCTTAGATATTGAGGGTGCTTTTGCTAACGTGGGTTTCGATGCCATAGTCCAGCCGCGCGTTAGCACGGGATACTTTCGATCGGATTTACCAGATGCTCCAGAACCGATATTTTCTCTCGAATCTATGCCAAGCAGAGGATTTCAAAATTGACTGTCCATGGATTCTCTCAAGAGTCTTGTCACTACTTTCGTGGAAACTTGTTGCGGATACGCTGCTGAGGGAACTCAACAACAGCGGTTTTCCTACCTATGGTTTTGCTGACGACTATCTCATTTTTTTCCTTCATTTGTGTTCCGTACAGAGCACCAATGCTACCGACGCCAGAGAGGCAGCTCCCTCACCTGGACCCTACCTATCGACCCATCAACTCATGAACCGGGGATCAACGGCTTTACTTCCCTTGATCAGAGATGTTATGCCTCAGAACATCCCGGCGGCGCCTACTGGGATTGAACCCAGGCCTGCTGGGGTGAGAGGTAATCAAGCTTACCACTACACCACCGGCGCCGATATACTTCTTCTTCTTCTTCATTCCTTTATTTAACGTCGGTCTCTGTTCCGCAATCTAGTGCAAACCACCGACGGACATCGATTCCTTTCCATTGACGGCAACCGAATGTGCAGGAAGGCAGCTTCAACACCTGCGTAGGATATCGCACCCATTCAACACACATGGGCCGGGATCAAAGGCTTAACTTCCCTTCAGTTGAACCACAGAGAACAGACGTTGAGGCTCGAACTAAATTTCTGTGAAAACTTTTGTAAAGATTCTTATTCGATTCAAGCGCCACCAACGCCGACGTCCCTTCTTAAAAACCCTCTTTGACAACATGATGGCGCTGGCGTTGCACAACTTACACTAGACAATGGCAATTTTCAACATTTCTCGATACTAGCGCCAAATTAGTCGAAAGTGGAAAATTTATAGAGGAAATCAGGAGATGCTAGCGCTACGTAACGGCGACGTTTCCATTTATCTTACACAAGTTTCTGGTGGAAGTTGGACGTCTGTTCTCTGTGGTTGAACCACAGACAAACAGACATAACACAATCATCGCAAATAATGTTTTAGTTGGGAATGTGCTTGCATTTGTCATGGTGGCGCCACTGAAACATTGAGCAAGACGCCACATTTCGAACGTATCAGTGATGCCAGATCTTTTTCACGTCTAGTTAGTACATGTCAGCTCTTGAAAATGATAAGTGGTCAAGGCACCTCACTGGAGACACATACCACCTCTTACAAAAGTTGTTGAATATTACATCAAAACTGCTGTACATAAGTCATTCCCTTTATAATATTACGATGTACGATGTACACAGAATTCGAGAATAAATCAATTGGTTGACTGTAATATTCTATCAACTTTTACCAGTAAATGATGTTCAATACTACACCATGAATGTCATTGATTGATACATATTATAGTATTTTGCTGTGTACACGTTAAAAAGATGAGCGGTGGTAGACAGTGCACTACTTAATGATGCATTACCTCGTTTAAAAATTAGTTTCCAGCAAAATAAAAAGCACACTATACAAACAAAACTAGTACGTTCAGACTACAGAGTTATAACATGTTATAACGCTATTTTGATGGTGGTTTCTGTGTTGCAATTATTTGACAACCGTTATAACATGTTATAACAACACTCCAGTCTGGACAGCGTTTAAGAAACGGTTATGTACCCAAGTTATTAACGAAAAAGAAAGACGATGAAAAACATCGATCAATTTTATTGAGGACCCAATGTAATATTCAGATTGAATTATAAAAAAAAACTGGAGTTACACGAAACTCTGTGTATTTCCAGTTCCGTATGTATTTCTGATCATTATTTGTTACTTTTATCCCATTGTGAAATATTTTATAGCATGCTAAATTTTAAAACTACTGCAACAGCAGCGACACCAAAGTGTGAAGTCTTTAACCTTTGAGTTTGTTTTTGCTTACGTTGTGAGAGTGTTGAGTGAAGTGACGTTTCTCTCGTTGTCAAACCAATATCCACGTCAAAAGGTTCGAGTTGCGATAATCCCGAAAAAATAATTTGTTGA